GCATGCCCAACGATTAGAATTTAAGTGTGCTCTGCCCAATCCACAAAAAGGGAGACCCCACAATCTGCGCCAACTACGGTAGGATTAGCCTGCTCAACATCGCATATAAGGTTTCATCGAGCGTATTGTGTGAAAAATTAAAGCCCACCGTCTACAAACCGATTCGAGCTTATCAATGTGCCTTTATAATGGAAAATCGACACACACCACCTCTTCGTCATTTTGCAAGCTTTCGACAGCACGAAAAGGAGCTGCCTTTATGTCGCGATGTCTAAATTTGTTATCCCCGCAAAACTAATACGGCTGTGTAAACTGACGCTGAGCAACACCAAAAGCTTCGTCTGGATCGGGAAGAACCTCTCCGAGCCGTTCAATACAAAACAAGGTTTCAAACAAGGCGAGTCCCTATCGTGCGACTTCTTCAACCTGCTGCTGGAGAAAATAATTCGAGCTGCAGAACTTAAYCGAGCAGGTACAATCTTTTATAAGAGTGTACAGCTGCTGGAGTATGCCGTTGATATTGATATCATCGGCCTCAACACCCGCGCCGTTAGTTCTATTTCTCCAACACTGGACTGGACAAGGAAGCAAAGTGGATGGGTCTGACAGTGAACGAGGGCAAGACGAAATATCTCCTGTCATCAAACAAACAGTCGTCGCACTCGCGACTTGGCTCTCACATCACTGTTGACAGACTTTAAAGTCGTATTATGGAGCAGAGGCTTGGACTGTGACAACAACTGATGAATCGACGTTGCAAGTTTTCGAGAGAAAAGTTCTGCGAAAGATTTATGGTCCTTTGCGCGTTGACAACAGCGAATATCACATTCGATGGAACCATGAGCTGTATATGATGACATTGACATAGTTCAGCGAATCAAAAGGCAGCCGCTACACTGGCTAGATCATGTTGTTTGAATGGACGAAAACACTCCAGTTCTGAAAGTATTCGACGCCGTACCCGCCGGGGGAAGTAGAGGTAGAGGAGGACCTCCACTCCGCTGGAAGGACCAGGTGGAGAAGGATCTGGCTACTCTCGGAATATCTAATTGGCATCACGTAGCGAAAAGAAGAAACGACTGGCGTGCTGTTGTTAACTCGGCTATAATCGGGTAGCGGTGTCTACGCCAATTAAGAAGAAGAAGAAGAACATTTCTGAAGGCAATGAACTTTTTATTTTGTGTGGTTTTCTGCATTGTGTTATAAAGCCATATCGTCACCTAGAATTCAAAATAACGTAACAACATTTTCTGAAATTTAGAGGGGAAGGAATGAAACATGTAATAAAAACGAACATGAGTGAAACATCTGATTATATCTAATAGCAGAAACTTAAAATGTTGGAGATATACACTTACTATATGTAAGAAATTTGAAGGAGTGGGTCGTAATCAATGAAACACTCAATTCCGAGTTTTTGGGTCACACGTTATTTTGCATTTTAGGTGACGACATATAAAGTCATCATATCAGCAAATTTTTTCAGAGTACAAACCAAGGTAGAGGAGGAAAGATAAATAACAGATCGACTGGGTTTTTATTCCAATAAAAGTACGAAATAACTAAACATGGCTTCGTTAATATTGCTTACCTGACCGGTGCTGTTCCAATTTTATGATTTAAGAGATGAAAAAGCGATACGCCATGCTGTGAAGTACTCAAATGTAGTTATCACCTTATTTGGTCGTGAATTCGAGACAAAATTTTAAATTTAATGACGTGCTCGTGGAAGTTGCACGTCGCTTTGCTAGGTAAGCTAAAATTAAACTTTATTTCAAAAGATTTACCATGCATTTTTAATTTTTCTTTTATAAAATCAGCAAAGAAACTGTTGTACAACGTTTGATTATTTGTCTGCCTTAAACGCTAGTCAAAAACCAATGAGCTTTGTGCTTGAGGGTGGAAGTAACTTTCTGAAGAGCAGATACTGCGGTGAATGTGCTGTTCGGATGTTGCACAAGCTATTGTCAATTGTGCTAAGGATCCTGATCAAGCTTTTGGGTAGGTAATTTTTGAGCAAAATTGAATTTACATACTTTCTAATATGCTAAACCCTTAACGCCCACCTTGCAGACCAAAGCGTTACCAGTTGAGAGAATTTATTGATTGGTTCCATCGTGTTATGCGCAAAGATGAAAAATGGTGGCGGTACCGTCGTTAAGACATGCGTTGCGATCCTACCTTCCTATTGAGAGTCAAGTTCACTGAGCTTTTCTGTCCTGGACAACCTATTGGTGAGCTACATATTGGTGAGGAACGTATCGATCGCGAATGTATTACCGATGTCATTTGGGTGTACAATTAACCTCCATGGAAGAGCAAGTACCATGGGCATTGCGACCATATCGTGCTGCGCAATATTACGATGCCGAATTGGGAGAGTGGGGGAACCAGCTCCATCAAAACCGATAAAACATCGGAAGAACTACGTATGTTTGCATAAAACAATAATAATGGCAACAATGCTAACAACAACAGCCAAGCAAATAATAAACAACACTCATCAAATAAAAGTTGGTGGCGTTGGTGGCCAAGCAGCGATTTGAAAATAATCATTTGCATCTACGCGAATTACAATTCGTCTTTACATCTGGTAAATAATGGTCGATTATGAACGATGTGGAAATTGATAATTAAACTTTAAAAAACAAAAAAATGTAATTTGGTTAATAATGAACCGCTATTAAAAATTAAGGAATTTCAGTTGTATTTTTATTTTGGCCAAACAAGTTATAATCGATTAGGATAATTTCAAATGGAGTATGTTTCGAACAATAATTTTTTGTTTTCAAATATTATGCCAGTATTGCTATTGAGCATGGCAAAATAGTGTTGCGCAAGCTAATTTAAACTACTTTTTACTACTATATAGATATTGCAAAATCAAAAAAATAATTCCTTTAAGAATCCTTTTTTATTTAAAAACTTAGTTTAGAACTAAAAAATAATATGGTAAATCTGTTAGGATGGTCAAATACTCCATTTGCGATCGAGTAGGATTCCTGATCGGCGGCGTATAACTAAACTCTGACACATAAAAAGTGTATGTAGTTGTGATTACAAAAATGTATGCTTAAAATATAACAAACATGGCTATTATAATTATCTCTTGATTTATCTTACAATAAAAATTGTGTTTTACTGTTCAGACGAATTATTATGATATGTAATACCAAATTTTTCGACAATAGTTGTCTCTTTTGGTCCACTCATTATCAAAACTAATTTCCAATTTGTTCATGAATAAGTTAACGAAAACGCTAAAAAAATATGTAGCATATTTATTTATATCAAGAAGAAATAATTAAATCTTTCGATAGCAGCATTAAATTTCATTCTATAAGCAAAATTTAAAATAGTATTTATAGATGTATAAATATAGTACTGTATATTTATAATTTAATATTAAAGCATTTTAGCTTTACGCAACCCGTTTTAACCTCTAGCCACTCTTATTCACCAGAGGTGGCCATGATGTTTTTATTGTGAACGTAGCCTTGGGGGGTAGGTTAACGACTGTGAATGGCTCTTTTACTACGGTGAATGGGACTTTCAATTCAAATGTATTGGAAAAAATTTATATTTGTGTACATTACAAAGTATTACGTAAACTTTCGGTTACCACACAGTCGTATCAGAGAACGTTTATCATAGAGCAGGTCACGTAAAAATACTGTTTTGGATGAGCGTGTTTTACCACACCACAGAAAAATTATTAGCGTGTTTCACCACATTTAATATCAGGGGACACGAAAAGCACAATTGAGCATTTGCAGTGTTAAATGAGAAAAATTATGCTCTTTCCGACGTTAAGGAATGTACGCTTACAGTTTCGCATATTTACAATGCGCAAACGACTCTGCATATAATTTATATATGTATATGTATGAATTCCTTAAAACCTTTTAAAATATGTAATAAAGTCATATTTATGTTGGTTGGGTCATATGTACATATGGTTTTTCAAAATAAACTTTCAGTTTTTGGAAGTGCTCACTTCTACAAATGTGCCATTTAGTGTAAAAATACAATTGTGACAGTTTCAGCTCAATCGGATTTTGCCTTCCCGTGCCGAAAAGGCCTTGAAGTTTGATAAAATTGCCATTTTTCGCGAAAAAGCGTTAGTTTTCGACTTTAACTTATGACTGATTCCACCTATTACAATAAATTTATTATCAAATGAAATTTTGTTGAAATTAAAGTCTATTATAACACATTTTCTTTAGAAATGCATGGTTTGGAAGATATTTAACAGTTAATGGACCAAGTTCGTGTCAAATGCCTTAGTATAGTTCTTCGCAGTAACACTCGAGGTTCTCCACGATTTTTGAAACTATCCTTACCTTAACCATAAACAATGCATACACTGAAGTCCTTTATTTTATTATATTAGAAAAAGCTAGAAATTAGTAAAATCTTTTAGTTATATATTGTATTTT